TTCTTTCTTCATTATCTTCCCGAAGCGTTAAGGGATGAGAACAAATGGCCCCGTCTTCCGGTTTCATGCAGGTATTTATTACTTTATGTCAAGTCAAACAATATCATATAAATTAAAACAAAGAGATCGGTACAATGTTTTTTGTTTCTTAGCAACTAGTAAAAGATAAACTCATGATTTAATAATACATCAAACTAATCATTATAAGCATAGCATATTTTTGCATGTAAAATTTACTTTGTCACTTGATCATGTTTAATTGTTATACATTCTCATCTATTTTTTTCGTTAATCAACCACAAAAAGTTTCTAGTATCATTACACTACTTAAAAATTACTATTATTACACTAAAAAATGTTCCGTGACTATTTTTATAGGGATATTTTGATTAATTCAATGAGAAAATTAAAGAAAAACATAGTAATGTTTTTTCATACTAAAAAATAAAGAAGTTTTTCATTATTTCAGTGAAAATCTGTTTTTCATCGTATTTTTAGTGAGTTGGTTCGATAGAAAATAAGTAGGAAAAAAATCGTGTTTTATTGCATAAATTTCACATTAATTTGTGACGAGAAAAAACTTTATTTCTAGTAACGTTAGCATTATACATTTTGAGTATGCAAAATTTTCTTCTTTTTAATTTTTTAAATATATAATTACTAGTATTTCTTATGATTTATCAGGAAATTGGTCTCGGAATATGGTCAAGAATTAGTGAAATTAAGCAAAAGGTTAACTACGATTTTATCGATAGGCCTTGGATTAAATGAGGATTATATACACCAAAGTTTTGGAGGAAATAATGAAACTAGTGCATGCTTAAGGGCAAATTTTTACCCAAAATGTCCTCAGCCGGACCTTACACACGGCCTCTCTCCTCACTCGGACCCTGGCGGAATCACCCTTCTCCTCCCTGACACTGATATCCCCGGCCTCCAAATCCGTCGTGGCAATAACTGGTTAACTGTTAATCCGATTCCCAATGCATTTATTGTCAATATCGGAGATCAAGTTCAGGTAATTAACTCTCTAACTTTTATTAGCTCTTTTAAAGCTAAAATAGAATATGTAATTGAATTTTATCAATTATAACAAGTTCAGGTAATTAACTCTTCAACTTTTATTAGCTCTTTTAAATCTCAAATGGAATATGTAATTGAATTTTATCAACTATAACAGTAAAGTTATTCAAATTTACTCACTCTAATAGTAAAGTAAACAAAACGATCAAGACAATTTTTGGTCATGTTAATGTAACTGGACTTAATTACTCACTATAGCGACAAGTGTAAATTTTGTCTTTTTATTGTCATGGAAATAAATATGTTTATTTTACTTTAATGTGACAAAAAATAATTTCTATTATAATGTGTAAAGTCCAATGAAAATACATGTCAACTATTCAAATGGTGTAATATACTTTCTCCATTCAAACTTTATGTTACATATATATATTTTTTAATCTATTTCAAAAAAAAATATTTTTATATTTAGAGAAATAATTTAACTTTACACTTTTATAACCTGAGTAATATTTAAGACCACAGTAATTTCAAAAGTCTCACATCCACACAATACTATAACAATATGTTTTGATTTGATCATGTTTCAAAAACTTGTATTATTAATTCAAACTATGTCACATAAATTGAATCATGTTACATCAGGTGTTGAGCAATGCAATATACAAGAGTGTGGAGCACAGAGTGATCGTTAATTCAAAGAAAGAGAGATTGTCCTTAGCATTCTTCTATAATCCTGGAGGTGACAAACTCATCAAGCCTGCACATCAACTTGTTACAAAAGATTGTCCTGCTTTATATTCTCCAATGACATTTAATGAGTATAGATCATTCATCAGAACAAAAGGTCTTACTGGAAAATGTCAAATTGAATCACTTAAGTCCCCTAGATAATTTGTTATTTAATTGGAAAGTTCTTATAATTATGTAATGTTCTAACTTCTATATATTATTTCTATTTATATGTCCATTGCTTAATTAATGTACAAAGTGTTATGATCGAAATAATTAGGTGTAATGCGGAAGCTAGCAAAGCAAACCTCGAAAGACCACGAGTAAGAAGACAAACGAGAAATATACAAAGACACAAAGATTTAACGTGGTTCGGTCAATCGACCTACATCCACAAAGGAGATGAGCAATCCACTATATAAACATGAGAGTACAAAATACAGAGAGAAATAACCTCAACCAATTCACTCGGAATACAAGGAGGTACACAAAATTCTCCTCCATAATCGCAACTCTCAAAAGTCAAAACCCTAGGACTACATTGTGAATGGCAATTAAGTTAGAAGGAACAAACATATATTTATAGAGTCCTAAACCTTTACTACAAGAAAAGGACTAGTTAAAATATTAAAACATTTTCTAAAAGGAAAACTTATTTTTGGTAAGAAATCAGGAAAAATAAATGCCAACAAATCTCCCATTTGGCCTGAATTTCCGACAAAATAAATTTGTCCACCTTCTTCACATAATCTCCTCCATCAAATCTACGTCTCGACACAGAGAACCTCTCTGAAACCTGAAACAATTTCTCCAACAAAGATCTTCATTACTATCAAAAATATTGCGGCTAGAACTACACCCGCCAAGATGAACACCCATCTCTAACATGGCTCCATCATTGAACCATGGTTCTGATACCACTTGTTAGGACCGAAAATAAGCAGGTGTAATGCGGAAGCTAGCAAAGCAAACCAATTCACTCGAAATACATGGGAGGTTCACACAAGTGATAACGTATCAAGCTTGTGACCTACAAATTCTCCCCCTAACCAAAACTCTCAAAGCCCTTAAGACTACATTGTGAATGCTGATTTAAGTTAGAAGGAACAAGCCTCTATTTATAGAGTCCTAAACCTTTTCCTACCAGAAAAGGACTAGTCAATCTAAAACCTTTTCCTAAAAGGAAAACCTATTTATGTTAAGAAACTCAGGGCAAATAATACCCAACACAAAGTAAGCTCGTGTCTAGCATGCTTTCACTTTCTTAAATGAGAAAAAAAATAAAAAATACGCGATTCCTTTTTTTTCTTTCTTGCCATTATACATTGATTATATGAATAATAGGTTATATTTAATTTAAGCAATTAGATGGGGTGTTATTTAGATTAAGTTTTCATAAAACAATTAAGAGAATTAGTATTGACGAGATTGACCCATAATTCTTACATGCTAAATTGAGACTACACTCTACTTTTTAAAAAAAAACAAATAATGCCCAAAATCTTTTTTATTGAGTAGTAGAAGTTTTTTTTTTTTTTAAAGAAGCTTCTTTTGTTAAAATGTGTTGCTATTATAAATAGATTCAGAGTTTGAAATTAATGGATTCTGAATTTGCCATTGAACTCAACGTATTTTAGTTACTGAATTCATATATGTGTTCATACTTTTGAAAGAAAAAAAAACAATTATGTAGTGCCTATTTGTGTGCTTATTATTCCCCCTACCCTTAATTACATGATCAATTTATTTTTTTAATTGTCCATTTTGACAAATCAAGAAATGACAAAATTTTTTTATCTATTATACCTCAATTAATTAATTTTGAAAAAGATAGAACTTCTTGAAAATTTTAATTTTCAATTCATCCACTTAATAATTAATAGAGATAAAATAACAAATTTACTATATCAATTATTTTTCTTAGTATGTGTGTTAAATCAAAAGTGGACAAGTAATTAGGGACGAAATATTTACGTAACTGAGCATTCAATACAAATAGTCAGATAAGATGAGTAATTTCACATTCAATACAGTCAAAAGTCTTGGTTGGTACACTTTAAAAGATTTTATTTCCTCATTTGTACCTACAGGATACGCTTTTAATTTTAATGGGGTCAGAGTAAATGATTAATTAAATACTTCTTTGAAAAAAAAAACATGATTGAATCCTCTAACTACATTTTCATAAAAGAGTTTTGGAAAAATAAATTGATTATTTTTCCCGTCCTTATTTATAAAAAATACACGTCATAGTAATTACTATTTCCTTCGTCTTATATTAGTTAATTATCTTACTAAAAATAGTTGTCTCATGACTCATATTAATTGTTCACCTTACTAAATCAAGAAAAAGAGTATGAAAAAGAAAAATGATCAACCGACAACTAATGTGAAACGAAGAGAGTAATGTCACACTAAAAAAACTTTTGTCCTCGAATGTTAAATAAAAAAAAGTATTCAAACAATCGAAAAGTAAAGATATCTGATCCGCATATCATGCTCGGCCTCCCAAATAGCCTCTTCCATTTGCCTAACTAAAATTTAGCCTTAGCAAATGGCAAACAGAGTGGCAGTTGGCAAATAATATTAATCCAGTAGACCAATTATTTCCCCATGTGGTTGGCTATATGTTAAATTGTTGCATTTAATTGAACTTTTTATGGCCTACATCTCTTAATTGATGTATTAAATAAAGGATGGTACATTTGCCGGATTTATTTAAAGAATGACCTAAAATTACAAAGCATTTAATGTTAGAGACATTTTCGAATCAAATTCATACATTAAATATATTTTCGAATCAAATTCAGATCTATGAGACTAAAGTTGAAATTTGCGGGTTAATGTTTGAAGTTGGCCTCCCTAACTTCAAACTCGTATGTCTGAAGTTGGCATAGCCAAGCATTAACTTGGCATTACTATCTTGTCTACGCGAACTTTATACACAAAAAGATACAACACATCTGAATGTATGTAATCCCTCAAAATAGGATCATGGGAGGGTAGAATGTGAATGTACATAGACCTTACTACTGCCTTAGAAGTAGAGAGGTTGTTTTCATTACTCTCAGCTCATGAGGCAAAAAAAGTCCAAAGTAAAATAGAGAGAAACAACGTAGAAGAAGACGGTCATGGCAAAATACTACGAACACCTGACAAATCATCCTAAAACAAAACCTGTTAACTTATAAAGTGAATATATGAGAAGCTCTTTGTGAAAATAATAGGCAATTTTAGAAACAAACTAAGCCAAGCTAAAAGGGTTGTCAAACTTCCTGAACTTGATGTTTTGCTTTCTACTTTACAGTTTACACCATTTCGGTGAAGAAATCTAAAATCAATGGCAATCAACAAGCTAACAAGGCTATAGTATAACCGTCTATTAACCAACTCAAACCATAAAAATAGATCACGAAAAATTTAACAAACTTCCTATATATATCCGAAAATGGATTAAGGGAAGAAGCCAAATTTCGTTCTTTCCCAAGGGTCATGGCGAAGTCGTTACCATTAGGATTCCCATTACATAATGCTGTACTATCTATTTTGTTAGTTGCCAAAGCATATGACCCCTCTCTCTAATTCATGAGACAACTATGGTCTGTGCCGCTTCAAGTTACATGCAGGGCATTTATACTGCTTTATACCCTCAGCTCTAGCAGGTGTTATCTTCACGCACTTACCATGGAACCATCTCTCGCAGATATCACAACCAATCCAAAATTCATCAGCATTGTAATTCCCATCACAACATCCGCATAGTGTTTCACCATGTTCTTCTTCATCCTCGTCGCAACTTTCATCTGCCAGCTTTGCAGTGTTTTTTGCCTGAACGTCACTTGTCCTCTGCAGAAATGTGAGAGCAGTTACTTCGTAGCCGAAGAAAAAAGATAATACTAGATCAGGACACACAGAAAATCTAGATCCATTAGATCGAAGCACAATGGACTTAATTACCAAGCATCAACAACCTGATGATACCAAATGGAACCTACCAACTCAGGAACAACAACGAGAAGATATTGTTGAAGGATGTTTTTTCATACCTGTATACTACCACGGGATTTGCTCCCATTATCTGCACTAGGCTTGTCTTGTATGGGCTTTCTTTCTGCTATGACTTCAAAAACAGTGGGCAAATCGTTGATCAAGCTGTGCAGACGCTTCCTGAGCAGGAACCAACAGAGGAAAGTTAGGATAATCTCTTCTGTATTTTTTCTTTATACAACAACAACAAACAAACAAACCCACTGAAATCCCAAAGTGGGGCCTGAGGAGGGTAGACTGTATGCAGACCAATCAAATGCACCCCCTTTCCTTTTTGTCTAGCTAGTAGAAATTCACTTGATTACTACTACATCCGCTTCATTTTATTTGACATTGTTCGACAGGACATGGAACTTTAGAAAAGAACAAAGATTTTTAGAACATGTGGTTTTAAACATACCACAACATTTCTGCGGCTATAAAAGCATGCCATCAAGAGTAATAATTAGTTTAAAGTTAAATTGCTTGCAAGTAAAGAAAAGTGTCATTCTTTTTGGAAAGAATTCACATAAAATGAAAGATAGTACTAAATTTAATCTAAACAGACTCATTGGATACAAATAAAAAGTAAGAAAAATTGATAGACAAGAAAGTAGTCACTCACAAAGAAAATTGTGCTATCGATTGAGGAAGATTGTACAAGTGCAAACTGGGGAGGGGAGGGGGGGGAGTAAGAATATATATAAATTTTGCAGAAAAATTACACCATAAAGTGGAGATCAACGCATGTCTAATGAAGTTTAACCAGGGGCAGAAATGAACACTGTCAAATCACTTGTTTATGGATCCACATGGACAACAGAGTGAGACTATATGTTGATTCACTTTCCTACTCCCAAGTCTCCAGACATCCACCACAACCAATTGAAAATTTGGAATATTTAATTAGCACATACATAAAGAGCCAAACTAGCCAAGCCGCATCAAAAAAGGTGGATAAATACTAAAGCACAACAAGGATAGAGCAATTTAAAATTTTCTTCGTGAAGACGGTAAACAATGTTTCGATTGAAACATAACAACAACAACATACCTAGTGAAATCCCACTAAGTGGGGTCTAGGGAGGGTAGAGTGTACGCAGACCTTATCACTACCTCATGGAGGTAGAGTGTTTCCGAAAGACCCTCGGCTCAAGTGCACCAAACCCAAGTAAAAGAGGAGGAAAACAACAAAGCAAGTATAACAGTTAATACGAAAAGCAGTGCAGAACCTACAGGAAAGAAACTATTCCAGCAGCAAAATAGTGTGATAATCAAAACACAATACACAACATATGACGATAGATAACAAATGCAAGGCAAGACAACAACCTACGCCTGCTAACCTTCTACTCTAATTCGCGATATCCACAACATCCACTCTGTAACAAGATGCAACTATCAGTGTTTCATAAATGAAAGAGCAAGTTGTTGGTGAGTACACATAGCAAATTAAAATTAGAAGTTGTAGCAGACACCATCTCCATAACAGGGATTAGTCTCCTTGAGGGTAGATAATTCATGAAAACCTATATATGATAGTTATAATGACTTTTAACAACTCTAATCACAACTAGAATCAATGAACAATCTGATTTATTTTCATAGACGGTGTGAGGGATATCAAAAAATGTTATGTTCATTAAAGATCAAGAAAATGTTTTGCCAACTTTGTGTTCATGCAAAAGAACGAGAGTTATAGATAAAAGTAAACCTAAGTGAAGCGGTACAAGCATGAGATACATGTAATCCTAAATCCTAATTGTTGAGGGGTAGTCTTAGTGAAGTACAATCTTCTAGCAAACTGTTGCGAACCACTGTTGGGAAAACAAGACAATATACACGATCAATTGAAAGCATCCATTCCACCCAATAAGAAATATCTCCAAGCGAACACATTTAGAAAGAACAATCATCTGACAGAGCACTCTTGCAACTTAATGATTTCTCAAATTTTTGCACTTCAACCTTTCCATCTACACTTAAAAAAGGAGATGTTCCTTTTCCAACAGAGTTTACTCATAGAAAACCCAGTTTATGCGCCAACAGATATGTAATGACGCCCATGCAACATGAACCCATAACATAGGAAGAATTTAGACAGTGCTCCAGAAAGTACGGATTAATGAAAACCGTGTCATATTAGTTCTCTTACATGTATGAAGTTGATGTTAAACATAACTCTCAGTCCTTGTTTCAAAGGCATACTCTCTCCGTCCCAATTTAAGTGTCTTAGTTTGATTGGGCACGAAATATAAGAAATAAAGGAATACTTTTGAATCTTGTGGTCTTAAATTAAAGATGTGTCTAGTCCTTTTAATCTTGTGGTCATAAACTTGCTATGTTGAATGTTGGAATCGAAAAACTTCCTAAATATAGAAAGAGACACACTTTTTGGACAGGCCAAAAAAGGAAAGTAACACTTGAATTGAGACAGAGGGAGTACTAAGAACATCAGTTACAAGCATAAAGGTCAATCATTTTCCATAATGCCTATTATATAAGATGCTATAGATTCCTTGCACCAAGTTGCAGTTACGATTTCCCATGAAGTCTAGAACAATGGCAGGACAAAAAGAAAGAATGTCATGTAAGGAGACTTTCTTATGAATTCTAAGCAAAAGAGAAAATCATCAACATTACAATACCAATTTCCCTTTAAATATAGTATAATAGAAGAAAAATAGGAAACAAGATAACCAAAAGAAATTGGGCTAGTCTGTCATCCATGTTTATAATGGCAACTTGTGACACTTTCCTGCTAATACCTTCCTCAACCACTAAAATATTCAATTTTATCCCGTTAGCAACATCAAGATCGAACAATTGTCTACTTTCCATGTAAGACACCAAAAGAATAGCAAGAATAGTATGTGAAGGGGAGTTATAACCATAACAATATATAATTATCAATTAACTATCCCGAAGGGGTGGCCCAGTGGTTTGGGCTTGGGACTTGCATGTTGGAGGTCTCAAGTTCGAAATCCCTTGCCAACAAAAGCAAGGGGTTTGCCTTATGGGTCGAGCTCGTCACACCGGGCTTGCCTAGTGCGGGTTACCTCTCCTGTGTGGTTTGCGAGCTATTGCATAGGAGTGGAGGTTTTACCCTGTCCGCACACAAAGAGTAGCGGCTGCGGGTTTCCCTTGTCATAAAAATAAATAAATTATATATTAACTATTTTAAAAGCTCCAACAAATAATATCATGTGCCATCAGTAAGATATGTCAGAGAGTAGGAATATTTGAGGTATATGCACAACTACACTGGAAAATGGTGGAAAAAGAACCTACATTTTTAGAGTTCTTTTCACATCTGATTATATTAATTTATCCCAATTTTGTAAAAATAAAAGAGTACCTTTCATTTCTGTTAAGACGAGCTCCAAAAAAATAGGCCACAGCAAGCAACCAACAATCACTGTGCACAGCAACCAATGAAAGCCAATCTATACGATTCATCCCATCCCTTGCAAAATTTATCCCAAGAGCTGGCTCTGGGAGTTCAGGTGGAACTTCGTCAGCTGGAAGGTTGACTTCCCATGTTTCATTCGGATGTCCATACAGACACAAATTTTCCTTTTCTACAAAAGAGATGTCAATGAGTTTAAAACAGAGAGAAAAGTTGCCGCGAGACAAACTTAGAACCACAGCATACTTTTAAAAGGAAAAAGATTTAGAGAAAACTGAAGAAGTCACAGCAGGTTCAGTAAAAGATACTCCACAAAGATCAACTTCTCTTGTTAAAAAGAGTTGCAACAAATACTTGTCAAAAAGATGGCATCTTTTTAAGAGAAATTTGTTCTTTAAGCACTACTTCATCCCTAGTAAATACTTGTCAAAAAGATGGCAAAGAGAAATTTGTTCTTTAAGCACTACTTCATCCCTAGTAAATTAATGCAGACAATTCCTGAGAAAATCTGAAGATCATTGAGCAGCAGTAGAGGTAGAAAATGGTGGTTTGGCAGAACTTTGGGGTAAAAAGGTCTAAATCAATAAATGGGTCACTACCCGACCTGCCCAAGAATAAGTTGGGTAGAGATGGTTGGGTCAAAATGAGTCATAACCCTACCTACATAACTGTGAGTACAACAACAATAACATCTCAATGTAATCCCACAAGTGGAGGTCTGGAGAGGGTGATGTGTACGCAGCCTCGTGAAGGTAGAGAGGTTGTTCCCAGTAAGCCCTCGACTAAAGTAAGCATATCAAAAATCAAGTATGTAAAGCAAATACAATAGCGAAGAAGTCATGCTTAAAACAATTAAGAAGGGAACAAGTAGCAACAACAAATAAAATGATAACTAAACCAAAGAAAGAACATATATTGATATGGGAACTAGACAACGCTTGACTACCTACTAACCTTCAACACTAATCCTCGACTTACATATCTTCCTCTCTAGGATCATGTCATCATGTCTTATCTATTCACCTCACCAAAACTTTCTTGGTTTACCTTTACCTCACTTTATACCCACAATAGCCAACCTTCCACACATACCTAACTATTAGTAAACTTTAATTTCTTTGTTTATTTAACAAACATCACTGATTATTTTTTTTTTAAAAAAAACTTCTTTTTTATAGCTATACAAACCATATCAAACAAAAAAATTAGTACATATTTTGCAAGCCCTAATTTGTCACTCCCTACTTCTGCCCTAATTCTCGACCTCAATTACTACTAAACCTCAAATATTTCCAACTGCAAAATTGAGCAGTAAAAACTAACATAACTAATTTTCTCATTGACTTAGCAAATCAGTTCTTTTTACTGCAATCCCAAGCCACAAATTCAAATTCGATCTATAAAGCAACACAAAATCAATAGAATTGAAATTACCTGGATCACACGTATTAGAAAACTCTTCCACATCTGAAAAAACACAAAACAATTTCACATCCATTAAAAAAAACAAAAAAATTACAGGCAAAAACATGCATATATATGAAGAAGTTACCATTAGTTAAAGCACGAAGTATCCCAGCACGGCGAGCACTGTAATCTTTGAAGATCTCTTCTACAGTCCTCGGACTAGAAGAAATTGAAGCCATATTCCTCCAAATAAATAAAATCAAACTGAAATTATCGCTAACAACAAAAGAGGAAAATTGATCTCAATTTTTGTAAACCTATTGAACTAGAAAAGAAGAACAACATTGAATTGAGGGCGTGTGGTGAAAAGGACTATATTGGTCCGAAAACAAAATTGATATATATATTATTTTTCTAAAATTATTATTATTTTAATTTTAATATTTAAAAGTTAAAAATTAATTAAAAAATTATATTTTTCCTTCTTTTTCATTTTAGGAGCCTGTTTGGATTGACTTTTAAAAAAAGTTTGAAGTAAAAAAATATATATATAAAGTAGGAAAAACTAATCTACTTTTGATTTTTAACTTTTTTAAAAGTCACGTTAAACTTATTTTTAAGCTATTTTTAACTTTATCAAATACAAGAAGTCAAAAATTAACTTTAAAATAGATTGATCAACTTTTAAGTCAATTCAAACACCTTGTTAGTCTTTCGATTCCTTTTTTATTTTAAAGTCTTTTTTATAAAAGAAGGTATTAGTCTTCAAATCTCATTTATGAACTTTGTGTAGAAGCCATTTTGTGTATGTTTATGTTTTCTTTCTTTAAAGATTTTTTCTTATATTCTATAATGTTAATTTCTCATTTCTTGTTACGTCTTTTGTGAAATTTATATTCAATTATTCATATATTCAAAGCAAAACACCAATATTACTTATATGCTCCTTTATTATTCTTTTTATTTTTATTTTTCATTTATCTGACACTCATAAATTAGACTTATTCGAATTCGCGATGAATAGGGTCCATTGGAGGGATAGTGCTCCCTATACCCCCATCAAAATTACATATTCTATTTTCTTGCTTAGACTTGAAATATAGACAAACGAATTTAGCTAATCTTCAAAAAAAAATTTATCTTAATCTAATTAATATCTTAGGAGTTACATTTTTATTATGATATGGAAAAATCACCCATATACACATTTAAGAGTCAATATTACAGGTTTTAAATCTACTTTTAAAAAATTCTTGCTTATAACAGTTTAATTACGGGTTATAACATATCACTAATTATTTATAATTAATTAAATTTTACTTTATTAAATAAGTATTTTTTTATAATTTTATATTATTATTAAATTATTTAAATAAAGAATACCCCATAATTATCTCTTACACAATTATAGGGATTTTACATGGATTACACTTCCTTATTTAATGTTATACTCATAACCTCCCATTAGTCAATCCCACCACCCTTCCCCCACACATATCCAACTATACAC